ATCATAACCATGACAATCCCCCCCCCCCCAAAAAAAATACCTCTAGAGCAAATATCTCAGTGGAGACAGAGTGAAAGTAAAAATTCCCCCAACTTCTCTCAGGAGAAACTGTGAAAGTTTGTTGGGAAGTGGTTGTTGCTATGGTTATTGTGATCGATTCTGTGATTGATGGGCTTTAACTGAGTGGACTTAGTACGATTAGCTGCTTTAACTGTCTGATTACAGCCAACTGTCCGGTTACACTGTCCTATAACAACTTAATAAAATAATTAGTGAAAAACAGAGCAGTTAGTGCACGAATCACATTTGAGGAAGTTGTAATAGTTACGATTTGACCCACAATTATGAGCTACTTAACTTGGGAGTAGAGCAGTGACTCCTGTCTGTTTGTTATTTTTGAGTCTCTTATTTGTTTGCCTGATCGATTCTCAAGATGTTTTTATTTTTCCCATTTTCCCGTTAATGTTACTTAAAATCATACTTTTGACTCTGCTTTCGTCCATGTTACTTCCCGTTGGTTAAAGTAACAAAAATCTCTCAGTGCCAACTCTGAGACTAAGGCATTCACGTGCGGCCTCGCGTGACAACTCCCCAGGTCCCTCCGGGCTGCAGCTTGTGGTTTCAATTAAGCGCAAACCTGGTAACCAGCAAGGAACAAAATGGCGGATAAACTAAGATCTTGAGCTACTGATGTATCTTAGATATAGGGGTTGATTGTAAAGTAGTTGCATATTTTTATTTTTCTTTAGTTATCTCTTGTGTCTTAGGATGTCTTCACCTTCAACAGACTCTTACTCTGTGCAGGAAAAGGTAGCTACTAAAATACAAATTACCCTTTTTGAATCGCCTGGCATATGTATTAATATAGAAAGATTAACATCGAATGTTCTCGGTAGGTTTGCAGAAGGTTTTCTATATATAATGAGAATTCGATCAACTTTACTTAGGACGAGGCTGGGTCCATTTTAGCAGGAGTTATGCGGAAGTCTTGCCAGAACTTCTAAGCGTGATTAAAATAGTGAATTTCGTATTAAATAGAAAACAAAATTTATTTTGGGGATTGCTTCGTGCCCGCTATTTGAACAAAGCTTTACAGATGTTTCCCTTTGTGTACTTAGATTCTTCTAGAGCCTTACAGTTACGTTCTAAAAGTTCCAGGAAAACAAGTCAGGGAGAAGCTTATTCAGGTGAGAATCTAGAGCGTTCTCTCAGAGTGTGATTTTTTTCAGTGGAATTTCCTGGTAGGTACCGATTTTTTCTTCGGAGTAAAATTGATTAATGGATATGTTGTGATTTGGAATCAGTTGGCTGTGCAGGACTATTTGGACTTCTTAATCCTCTGTGTGCTGTTTGATCAAAAAGGCCAATGACCAGAGTCCACTTCTGCTGCTTATCTCATTGCTTTTTCTTTAACCCTTTACACCCGAAGATCAGTATGCATATTCTCCTTGCTACTCCCTATACATTTCCAAGGGTGCTGAAAAAGAGAATTTGTCTAACATTCAAGAGAACCTTTAGTTGGTGATCATTTTCTTAATATTCTCATGACCTGAATGTGTGATTGAGGGGTGATAATTATTGTGAAGGGAAATTACATGCTTGTCACTCTTAGGGGTGAAAGGGTCAACTGAAGTGAAACTCTGACCAGCTTGCTCCCCATACTTGCAGCTTTTTATAATTACTATATGAGGCCTTTCCAGGTCTCTTCCACTCTTCATCTGTTTTGTGACTTAAGTAATAGCAGATGGCTCCATCCTGTCAAGGAAGTGGTTCAGGTGACATGTTCTTTTCTTCTTCACTTCAAAGCTGATGTCAGTATGGCTTGAGCTATTTTGTATTTCATTGTGGAGAATATTCTTTTGAATCTTTACTGACTGTTCTCCTCATTCTGCACAGTAAATCTCTTTCTGAAAGTTAGAGGCCCTGGAGTTTATGTTATTTGAAACCTAGAAAGGAATTTTCTAACTGTATAGTCATCTCAAAATTATCACTCTTTTTTTGTTATTCAACAGGCTTTTAATTTTTGGTTAAAGATCCCAGGAGATAAACTTAGTGTGATAGCAGAGGTGGTAAAGATGTTACACAATTCTAGTTTATTGTAAGTGTTAAGGATTATAAAAATGTATTTCCCAATTCATAATGCACATTTAGAAGTGTAATTTGATAGACAACAAATTGCTGGTAAATGAATTGAAACATACAGTTAAGAATTGGTTCACTTGACTGAAAAAAGACTGGTTAAATACTGTTTAAATTTGGCTTTGCATGGAGAATTAAAGAAAGATGAATCATTCTCCTCTCATACAAAATGAAATTTCAACTATTTTTCTTATTGGTGTTTTTTTATTCCTTTTAATTAATTTCATAATTTTACAAATTTATTCCCAAGCTTAAGTTGCCCTTTCTAGGAATGTTTTTCTATTTAAAGGCTAAGGCAGATGTTAAAAGCAAAGCTGATAAGCTGATTACTTGATGTACAAATGAGTTCAGGGAATATTCAAATTTTGCTACATACATTCTTTGGAGGGTTAAAATAAATTATACAGAACAGTAAGCAGGCACCCCCATTGAATGATTTACAGCTGATACTCAAGCATGGGATGGCTTTCTGATATAGGAATAAACTTAATTAGGTTGAGTATACCATGCTCATCACTAACATAGCTGAACAAGAGTAATCATTATTAGACTGAAGAATAGCTGGGGCCACTTCTAGAAATTAATCATTTGTGTATAGTTTGAATGCCAGTCCATTTTAAGCTGCACATCTCATGGTCTATTGTGATTCATTCCATCAGATGGCATGTCCATTTGAACACTTTTCTAAAGTCACTTCATAATTGCTTAAAATTATTTTGAATATCATTATGTTTCCAATCAATATCCTATGTTCAGTTTTCGAATAACCACAGATAATTTGCCAAATAATCCAATGCCCTGGAGTAATTCTCAGGACCAAAGTACCTTTGTAACACTAGCATGATTGTAATGTTCTTTTTCACAGAATTGATGATATAGAAGATAACTCAAAGTTACGAAGAGGAATTCCAGGTATTGTCTCCTCACTATCAATGCATTTACTGATAGTAGTGTAACTGGCTGTTGATCCAAAGAGTGTTAAATGCACACAGCAGAATGTTGCACTAGGATCTTCCTTGCTTGTACCCCCCCTAAGGGGCTTCTTTGAAATGCAGGTCTGATGGATATACATGCATAAACCATCTTCACATTTTTCTTTTCATTGATAATTTATTAGTTGCTCACCAGATTTATGGAGTGGCTCACACAATCAACAGTGCTAACTACATTTACTTCAAAGCTTTGGAGAAGGTGCTGTCCTTGAACCATCCAGATTGTATAAACATATTTACAGGTACTCACAGATAAATTCTCTATAGTTCTTATAGTGCAAAACCAGGGGATTATATTTAGCTTGTGGAATTGATATACGTGGTAGCCTCAGTATTGTCAGTACCACTATTTCTGTGAATTATTGTCAGCTCCAGTTTCAGCCCACTAACTCCCACATGTAGAAGTGATTAAGGTGTGAGTTCTCTTCACAATTGTGATACATCACCAGGCTGAGAAACAGACTATGAGATTGAAGAAGTCTAGGAAGTTTTGCTTGTCAGAATTTGAGTTAATGGACTAATTTTCAGAGGAATGAACAACATGTATAAATATTTATTCCCTATCTGGCATTTTTTGTAGTTTTTTTTTGTATTTGAAGTGTGCTCATAGATCTCTACAATTTCTTAATTCAGAGGAACTGTTAGAGCTTCACAGAGGCCAGGGAATGGATATATATTGGAGAGACAGTTACACCTGCCCATCTGAGGATGAGTATCATGAAATGGTTAAGAAAAGTAAGCTTCAATTCAAACTTAAACTTGTCTCCTACTTTTATGTAGCCCTACTAAGACCTATTTTCTCTCTTTGAGCTTGTGTTTGTGTACATTGGAGCTACAGTCATATAAATTATATCTGACTGTGAATATAAGAGAATAACAAATGTGAAATGCAGATTAATAAATGAATACAAAAGAGATCTTCACAGTAACAAACATTACTTAAGTAGTACTGGATTTGAACCCAATGACCTTGTTTGCTCAGTTGGTAGAGCACTGCACCAGTATTACAGACATCATGGGTTCAAATCTAGTACAGGCCTGAATTTTATTTCAGGCCTTATTACATAAGTAGTGTTTATTTCTGCATATATTGCTTTGGTATACACATAAATTATATGCAGCTTCTGGAAAGATTTCTTTTTCCAAGGAGATGTTCACTTTCAACCAAGTCATAATCTTATTTTGACCTGTGGAACTTCCATGAGGCCAATAACAAATATTATTGATCCTCCAAATTTACCCTCTGATACTCCTTACATTTGACTTGATACATACTTTAGCTCCTGGTTGCAGTCACTTTCCTTAGCATATTCACTGGAGGCATGAAATGTTAAGAATTTCTTTAATCGAAATTGCTGTTGCTGTTGAAAATGTCTACTACATATTTTGTTGAATGGCTTTGTTGTGGATTTTAGAGACTGGAGGCCTTTTTAGATTGGCTGTGAGGCTGATGCAATCTTTCAGTGAAAATAGAAGGTGATATTTAATTCTTAGACATAACCTTTCAATAAAATACTGGGAGCTCTCTTGAAACATTATTTGGAGTACAGTACAGAGGAGATAAGAAAGCAGTGTGTGTAAAATTTCCCATGTCAGCTAGAGAATATAAAATCATGACATTTATTGATTGCAATTGCTTCCTTATTCAATTCAGGCAGCCAATGCTGTCTGTTTCAAATTTTTGGTGGAAAACAATTTAATTTATTTAAGAGTTCTAAAGTTCACTTTTTTCTAGTTTTTTGTTTTGAAATGTTTGGTTCCTTTTAGTTTGTTTGATGGTTTGTTACAGGATGTTGTCCAACTATTTTCCAAACATGGTAACAAACACATTGTAGACAGCTGATTGTTACCTTTTTATATTACAAATCCACATAATTTCAAATAAATCTTCACTCACTCTTCTCTTTACTCGTCTTAACCACATTTATTCAAGTATTTTCTTGTATAATTTCAGTAACTTCGTTCCATTACTGGATACACTCGCCTTGTTTTTCCAAATCAGAGATGACTATGCCAACTTACTCTCGGAAGAGGTAGGAAGTGAATTGATTAATCGTAAATAATCTTTTGGTTACATTTCTTTGCGTATTTAAAATATGTAAGTGAATGAAATTTAACCCGTTTTTCACTTTTGCTCTTTTCACAACAGTACAAGGAAAACAAAAGTTTTTGTGAAGACCTAACGGAAGGAAAGTTTTCATTTCCGATCATTCATGCCATCCGCAGTGACTCTGAAAGCACCAGAATTTTGAGTATCCTTTTTGAGAGTTCAAGTTGTCCTCCAGTAGCCCCTCCTAAGTTCATTAAAGTTCTCTGGGTCGGGTCTCTGGGGAGGTGAGTATGATTTTAAGAGCAGAGTGGAAGGGTTGGGGGGAGGGGGGGAAGAGGGGGCTTCATGCAAAGGAAGAGGGTGATTTTCTGGAATGCCTTGCACATTGTGGTCGTGTATTGCGCCCGAGTCAGAAAAATCCTCACATAGACGACGCATCATCGACTACGGCGTTCTGCTACGTGGGAAGTCACAAACGAAGCGAAGTAAGAGAAGATTTAGGGATTAGTAATAAGGTTTTGCTGTGTTATCTTTGTTACTAATTGGTCACGGCTAAGTAGCCTTGAGAATATGAGTTATTTTGTTTGTTTGTTTTTCTTGTTTTTGTTTGATAATCCGTTTGTTCGTTTTTCGGGCTAGAGGAGGCATGCGCGAGGCGAGCGCCATGTGCGAGTCAGGTGCGAGAGGAGGAGCATTTTATCGACCACATGCATTGGCACATGACTCACTTTTTGCGCTTGCCTTGCGTTTCCCTTTGCTTGCCTTGAAAACAAAAAAACATTGAGCCCGAGACTGCAGACTGTGGCTTGCCGGCGACAATAGCGCTGTTTTCCTTGAGACCAAGGCCGATTATATACGACCCTTTTTTTAAACTACAGTAGCCTAATTAATGATTAACAGATCTCATCAAAATTGTTAAAATTCAAAACCTTAATTCTCCATCGCTTAGATATTTTGAGACAAAGGACAACTGACGTAGACATTAAGAAGTATTTTGTAGATTGTTTAGAACAGGTGAGTGAGACATGCTTTGACCAAACTCGTGGTCAGTACTGACATTGAGCACGTACTGTGTTATCAATGTAATAACGTGTTTGTTTGCTTGCTTATTTTCTGGCAGATTGGCTCATTTGCGTACACTAAAGTAATACTCAAGCAAATGGAGGACAAGTAAGTAGAAGCCCGTGATAATTCGGTCAATGTCGAAAATGCTCAAACGTGTGATACAATTACAGAAAGGTCTGAGGTTCGATTCCTCATGGGGACCCAGAAGTTTTTCTTTGTCCCACGCTCGTAACAAGACGATAAAACATTTTTCTCTATTTCTTTACCGAGCCCAAAAACTTACCATCTCTCTTATTCTATTTACAAACATGACGTTATCAACATTGCTGATCCTAGCAGTATGCAGAACTTTGCAATAGACCTCGCTCACCATAGAGTGTCTGTGGTTCAGTGGTAGAACATCGTAGCGCAGAACCCCAGGGTCCGAGGTTCGATTCCCCGTGGGGACTCAGAAGTTCTTCTTTGTCACACGCTCGTGACGAGACGAGAAAACATCTTTCTTTATTTCTTTACCGAGCTTAAAAACTTACCATTTCTCTTAATCTATTTACAAACTACTGAAGGTGTCGCTATTTTAAAAAAATCTGTACTTGACTGAGCCAGGTAGCACCTTTGGAGCAATGTTTTTTTAAATTGTCCCAATGTAATTTGTATCGGGTAGTTATGCGACGACTTGCATTTGATACAAGGTTTCTTTGCTTTTCTTGGTTTTTTTTTATGTTTTTTTTTGTTTCGTTTTGTTTATTTTTTTCTGCCAACGAATGTATGAAATAAGTAAATATGTCTTACCAATTTATCGTGACGTATGAAAATCGTTTTAATTCGTTTGACTTTTCAGATCTCAAGCACTGATCGCAGATTTGGGCGGAAATCCTCAACTTTCAGCTATAGTTAAACAATTGGCAAAACTTTATTCCTAGGAACTTTTTTTAGAAATAAACTTTAAATAAAAAAATTATAAGTGAATAATCAGAGAAAGACATTATATCATGGACAAATGATTTTAATTGAACGACATAACAGCTTCATATAATGAGAAGGAAAGGTAATGAAGTCAGAATGAATTTGTACGAGTGTGTATCATCATCCTTTTTTCCCATATTAAAATGTTACTGATTTTCACACTATCACCCGGATTGTCCTCGCTTGCGAACAGTGCTGCACCACTTGAAAGAAGACAGATGGACAATCCTCAACATACACGAGCGATCTTGGTTTGTTGTGGTTTGCATTTAATCATTGTATCGCTTGGTACATTTTCGACAATTACTTTCTGTCGCATTCAATTGGCTATCGATAGGGATCTGTGTTTGCGTTGGTTCTGCTTCACTGCGGTCTACAATTGGATTTCAAAGCCACGCTACTCCTTCAACTAATCAAACGTGTCGCTTTGATTTCAATAGTTCCTTTTAAACTAGGGAAATCGACGTAATGCAGATGCTCTTACATCGGACCCAAAAAACGAATCCAATCTAATACTCTTGTTGAATCGTCTCGGGGTAAGAAGTGTTTGGTTTTCGTCTCTCTTTTAGCCATTATTTGAATTTTGAGTCCACGGTTATTCAAAGCATAGCCCTTGTAACGAGTGTCTGTTTGACTGAGAATCGATTTATATGATTGTTTTGTAATCCTTATGTGAGTCCTGTGACTCTGGAGCCTGCAAGCCAGTACGTATGGCTTCTTCTTGTAAGTGATTCGTCCTATGCCGTCAATAGGGTTTAGTGGTTAAACAGAATTTTCCATTGCTGGAAAATTTTTATACTGACCTTCATTCGAACTCCCACCTGGCTTTCGTTCTTGAAGATTGACTGTTTAGGTTAAAGTATTTAGCGTGGTTTGCTTTAACAGCTCTTCTCTCTATCCATGCTCGTTACAACAATTGTCGCTAATTTAGAGGGGACCAGCATTTTATTGTCTACAAGACTCTGCTCTTTCTTAATCTCTAGCGGTCTGTACTTTTGCATTTTTTTCTCTTGTAATCTTTTTTTGATAACTTTGTTCGAATAGAACCAAATGCAAGAAATGAGTTGATAATTTTGATTTCAGTTGTTTCCATTGATTTGTAACCTGTTTCTCTCGAGTGTTCGGTTTCACCAGCTAACGGCCACCTCGGTGAGAAACGCTTTTTCCTTCGTTAGGATGAAAATAACCCATGCCTTGGTGTGATGGGAATAAGCTTTCATAACTACCATCTAAGACTTTTTATTTCACAAAAGGCAATAGCGACTCCGATTTGTAAGATTCATGTACCTGGAGGCGTCTTTAAGAAGAACTGCATGAAATTAAACATTGACTTCCGGCAAACCTCAGAAGCGGGTGGCCTCTTTCACATGCCATGATATCGCACCGTTTTGACAAAGAACGACCTGTGTCACCAAATTAAGGGTGAAATATCGTCCGTGGTGGTTTGGTCTGGGGGCTTTTTAATGTTGAGGGATTCTACGCCAATGTGAACAGAGAACACTTACAGTTTAATTCAATTTCTTCCAGCAAGTTCTTTGTCAAACAACAGACATAATTGGCAGTGGAGATATTTATTGGTAAACTTTACATAGGGCATCAATTAGTAATAGTGTAAGTCGAAGCCTCGCTCAATTGTGTTTAGCAACCTTTATAATCTAAAAGGTCGATACTGTCGGAAGAAAAAGATCAGTCACTGTCGAGGTTCCAATCACAGGTAAGGAAAGGACAGTATCTTGTGAGATGAGTGGATGGTTCGCGATAGTTTTTGTTTTGGTGACATCGTTCCTTCTGGTGGCCGGAAACAAACCCAACAACTGCGGTGTCTATGGTCATTGTTCCACTGATAAAACAGATTCGAAGGAAAATTTGAACAACTTTGGGGCAAACTCGAATTTTGAGAGGAAAAGAAGTCAAGTTAATCAAACCAAAAACTATGTCAAGGAAGAAATATCTTCAAAGAGGGACGACACTTTCACAGATGTGCTTAAAAACCTCTTAGCTAAGGTGGACAAGGCCAAAACTGCAATCACAAACTTGAATAGTGTACCTCAAAGAAACGCTTCTTCTACCGTAAAACCGGTAACGAACCCCGTCAACGTCTCCAAAACAACCGCAGCCCCCGGCACCAGCACTCCCCCAACTGTTCCAACTACGCTAAGCTCAAGTTCCACTTCCGGAAGTACAACCTCGTCCTCGGTCGGAAGTGAGGCCACTACGACTGCGGCACCCACCGTTACAAGCTCTCCAAGCCCTACCCCTACGACCCCGGCCGTGAAACCTACGGGCAACGCCTCGTGTAGTGGAGCTTTAGGGGCTTGTGCTGGTGGTGTGCCTGTGGTGATACCCGGTAAAAATAACATCACTATTGCTCCTGGGGTCGTTTTAACTCCAAATGGTGAAATTATCTTAACTCCACACCTTCCGCTGTTGCCGGGGGCTGGTCAAACTCCAGGAAGTAAACCTTGTCCCGGGACCTTTCCCGCTTTATTAGCCGGGTTAGCCGCAGCAACCGGTGCAGCCGGAGCAACCGGGTCAGTAGGAGCTACAGGAGGTGTTACCGCGGTGGCTAGACCAGGAGCTCCCCAAACGTCCTCCATTGCTCAACAAAGTAAGTAAAATTGTCAGAAGATCGTCTTATTTAATCCTTAAACTAGGCGTGGTTGAGAGGTGAAACAGAGCTCAGTTGGGGTTTGTTACTTGAATCAAGCCAAGTGAAGGAAGGCGGCTCCTTTATTCGAACTAAGGGAAAGAAAAATTATTCAGTTTGAAGTTAGATGTCTGAGAAAAATCTGCTGCTTAACAAATATGACCCTATTGTTTGAAATTTTCAAGGACTGCCAGCTTTAGGGGAGGGTTAATAAAAGACTCAAAACTATTCCGAGTGGGATGATGGGTACTGACACCACAACGATTAAGAGGTGTCAATTCTGATGTAATACAGCAAAGCCAAAATACCATAATATGGGTTAAAAATGTAAAGACAAATATAGTCTTAAAAGCTGAAGAAGCCAAAGGTACGAGGAAGGCAAGAATGAGAAGCAACACAGAGACAGATTGCATTTAAATAATCTTGAAAACACCAACAATTAAAAACTAATTTGCAAAGTTGTCTTTTTTACAGGTCCATGTGTCAATAACTTCAAGAGTTGTCAGGATTGGGCTGCTAAAGGAGAGTGCACTAAGAACTCACCGTTTATGATGGTAAACTGTCGACGTAGCTGCACCAACTGTGGTGAGAAAATAACCAATAATGTGTGAGGTTTTTATTGTGTAAATTGATTTTCGCGAAAAATGTTGCAGACTTACATATTCTGTTTTATGTTATTCTTCACCTGAATGAAAATTTATTTTCCATGTCATCTCTGACGTTTTAGTTGTTGTTTTTCTCATGCAGCAAAGTGCGAAAACAGCCAACGGAAGTGCATTGATTGGTCAAAACATGGAGAATGCAGCAAGAACAGGCCATATATGGAGCAAAAATGCTGGCGAAGTTGCTCGAAATGCGGTCAGTAAGAAAAAAAAAACCTCAACTGAGGAAAGAAAAATCTGTTCTTGTTCCGGTTCTTATCCCATGCTTAATGTTTTCTAGTCGACTCCCATAGTCAGTTTTAAGTCTTTTTTTGTCACAGACAGATAGAGAAACGCTAGCGTTGCCACGAAATTCAAGAAATGACATAGCTCAGTAAAGTTTGATAATTCAAGGTTGGAAAAATTCAGCCAAAAAACGTCGCCATATTGTATAGCAGACTTGCAACGAGTGTTAGGGAAGAGACCCAGGGGGCATATGACCCATTTTTGCAAAAAAGAACAGTTTGTATATTTATTTAACCTGGCATGCTTCAATTTCAAATGAGGCGTAAGCTTTAGGAGCCTTCTTATCCAAAAATAATTTTCAAGGCTATCGTGATTTCCCCGTCTTTTAGCAGTTCAATTACAATGTAACTAACACTGACTTCATTTTATTCAAAAGCTCCTTGCGTAAACAAATTTCCTCACAAATGCATCACATGGGCTAAAGATGGCAAATGTTCATCAAACAGAAACTTTATGGAAATGATGTGCTGGAGAAGCTGCTCAAATTGTGGTAAGAGGAAACTGGATTGCTTGAACAACTGTCTACTGCATCCAATCAATAATTGGAATAGAAAATGAGAAGCTACTGATCGCTCGCCTGACCCTTTGACTGATCGGCAAAACGGACACCCCGGCAAAATGTTTGCTTGATACACTAAGTTTCTTGAAATGCCATGTTGTGACAAAGTAGATCACTCTTTTTCTTCGCTAGAATTGCAGTTCCTGGGTGGTTGATACGCTTTATTACAGATCATAGAGATTGGGTTAAGGCCTTAGCGGTTATTATGCTGCATTCCAGAGCAGGATGCTTAATCTCACAGCAACGTTGTTCCATCGTGACAGATAAGTTAGGTTCCGAAAATTTCAAGGAACATGGCAAACTGCCGGAGGTTACCTGAGATGAAAGAGATAAAAGAGATGAGACGCAGCATTATAGCGTTAACTCGCTGAACTCGGGATCAAACGGTTCAGGTACAAAGCCCTCGAAATCCCTGTGCTCTTGATTAGGACACTCAAAACTCCCCTCTTCACTCAGGACTGAAAATTGTGTCGGCAAACTGTCAGGGAAACCTAGAGTACCTTACTAAGAGCTGGGCGCTAACCCTTCAATGGATCATTTCTACTAGTTAGTCGAATAGGTTTCCTACCTTTCTTCACATTTCAATTGTTTTCACAATTCAGTTAAATGCGAGAACAAGCGAGATGGATGTGTGGATTGGGCTGCAGATGGGCAATGCACTAAGACTGCTCCTTTTATGTTAGAAAACTGCTGGAAAAGCTGTTCATTTTGTGGTGAGTTACATTTTATAGGTTTTGATGATAATCATTACTATTATAGCGATTCACTCAACATTAAGGCTCCTTTCTCAAAAGGATGCCCCAAATTTAATCTCCTCTCTTGTTGTAACTCTACTCCTAAGAGAAATATCCATTGATGGAGTAAAGTCAGAATGAAAGCTGAAGCTGGTGTTGAAATTATGCGGAAACCGTTAATAGTGTTGATAAAACTGTCACTATGATACTGCGAGTTAAAGACTGCAGTAACTGTCATCAAAATGGACGACAATGTCTTTCAAGGGAAAATTCGTTACATTACATTGATAACAGCTTCCAGCGTATACGAAAGATTGTAAACAGCACTAAAACTATCACAGTACTTGTTGAGAAGAATAAGTAGAAGACTGTAGTGCCTTAGAAATACTAGCTCAAAGAATATTAATTACGAAAAAGATTACCCGTTTCGTTTTAAGTTATCGAAAAAGAGTGACACCAGGTCGCACACGTCATGCGGCGCTAACAATAACTTTTTTAGGCGCCAGGATTGCAAATTATTACGTAATTGTCTTTGTTCGGGGTTTGCTTAGTTTAGTTTTCGCGTCTTTGCAGATTTGTTACCTTTGTTAATTAGCCTTATTTTGTAAGCCAAACTTTTCCCGATCGGAAGATGTATTGGTAGCAGAGTGTTAGAGTGTCTCCCGAAGAATCTCGATACTAGTATATCTTTGGTGTTTCGTCCAACCAGCCCCAGTATATTTTGTTATATACTAATATTTCTTACAATATTAATGTTTCTTAATTTTTATACTAATCGTCATTATTATTAGTATTGCTGTCGTTATTAAGGAAACTTAAATCATTTTGATGATTGTTATGATGCATTTTAATAATCTAATAATTAAAAACCATCGTGAGTACTTAAAATAGTTCAGTACATTTGTATGAGTTTAGCTGAAACCTCAGGAAAACCAACTTAGGAGCACAGGAATTGCAAAGAGGAAGTTGCTTGAGTCTTTTTCATTTTTTTTTTAGGCTTCTAGTAGGCCCTCGTTAATAGCGCTTCGGCACGAGCGTTTTTTCGCCCGCGTGAAAGGTTGAGGCTTTGAACGACGCGATACGGCGAGAGATCTCCAAGGGGTCTATCACTAATATAGACCCCCAACAAACCTCTCCCCGACTCGTCTCAAATCATCCTGCGGACAGATAAACGCGCGTTCTGCAGCGCTACGTTATTTTGTTCGCTACATTCCATAATGTTGAAGATGACGGTGATGAAGTTGATAATAATGATGATCTTCATTTTCATCATTATCGTCATCATCATCATCATCACCATCATTATTTTAATAATTTATTAGTCCATTATTAATGTTGTTCCCTTACAGCTCCTTGTATCGATAAGCATCCTACCAATTGTCCACTCTGGGCTAAGGATGGAGAGTGCAAGAAAAATAGGAAATTTATGGAAGACAATTGTTGGAAAAGTTGCTCAAACTGTAAGTGCTTTTGTTTCATTGCTTGTGTATCAATAATAAAAATAATCTTTCGAGGGTGATGAGAAGATTCTTCTTGATCCGCTCTTGATTTCGATCTTGATACTCAAATGGCATTCGAATTTTTCCCCACAGGTTGCAAGGATAAAAAAAAACACTGTTCAGAGTGGGCCAAAGCCAAAGAATGCACAAAAAACCCTGATTTTATGAACGAAAACTGTGCTAAGAGTTGTAAAAAATGCTGAGCATATATATTGCTACTTCACTCAGGCAATGTTGGAAGATCAGTGGGGAGCTCTTCTCGAAACACCATCTTTTACAAACCATTTTAACTTTATTATAACACAAAATATTCAACTTCTCGAGAAATGAATTGCAGTAGTCTCTTGACAATTTTTTGTTTGACTCAAGGCCGTTTGACTCATCGATTTCAAGTCAACAAAGCTATTCAGTATACGTCTAATGGTTATAAAGATAAATTAGACTTACAAATCTCGTACGTAGATGAAGTATTTCTTGCGAAGTGGCCTAGGTAGGAATTAATAGGACCGTATATACATTCTTGATAAAGGATATTCCCACTGTCACGTGCGCATTGTAGTTAGTTTTCCGCTCATAAAGGAAAGCTGTCTAACATCGATTTATCGGTTCCTATTTTATTATTCTTTCGTTTTTAATGATTAACGAGAGCACTTCATTTCCAATGAAAATATGTGTCAGCTTGGAGCCTATTTTTAGCAAATGTCAATTTTGAAGGTCGCTTAAAAAGAGAAATGTAGATAATGTTATGATAAATGTCTTCCTAGGGAAAAAATAAATGGCCAATGTAGAAGAAAATTATTTAGATAAATAGAGATGAAAGTCAAATGGAACCACAGTTTCGTTAGCTGGTTATTGTCCGTCTTGATCCATTTTTCTTTAATCCTCCTCAGATGGGGCTTTAGGAAGCTTTCTGGAACTTCGACAGAGGGAGGGATGGGAAGGAAGATGAAGAGAGCTTTTAGGAGGTTAATCCCCCCAAACACTTTTTTCAATCCCTATGTCACTTTGAAGGTATTCCATTTTTTACCAAAAGCGAAAAAAAACAAAAGCAAAAGACAGATAAAAAAACCGTGTAACAACCTTAAAAGGTTTGTCCTGAGTATTTAACCAGTGATTTGTTTCACCAATCATACCTTGGTAGTAGAGCACATAGGTAGGGAGCCATGTTTTACTCTGGCTTTGACGTCGTGAACTGTCGGTAGATTACCGTACACCAAAACTTTTAAATGAAATTACTTTAAATATATCTATCTTCTCAACATGAGAAGATAGTTATTAAAATATCGCGTTTTATTACAAAGGGCAGTTGCACTGAATTGTGTCACGATCCAACAAGATTAAACTCAAACAGCAGGGTCAGTAAGCTTGGCAGATGTTTCTCAGTGGTCAAGATCTTTCCATCTGCGATTGTTTGTGTCAAGTTAATAGTGTTTTAGTCTAAAAAAATGGACTTCTTAGCCTCCTACCGATAAGCACGTTCATTTAACAGTTTTAAGGTGATGCTTTAACTCCACAAAGCTTCGACCAATAAGATCGTAACTTAATACGTAAGAAACACTATGAAAGGTACTTCATGATTTAAGCATGTAAGCTTTTAAATCTTTAAGAGTTAATTTTACATCAACTTCAATACATTTGTCTTCGGTTGCATGGTTGCAAAATGGAGATTCGTTTTGTTGTAATCCACGTTTTAATGTGGTGTATAATATACCTTAAGGTAAGTAAAAAAGGTTTTTATTTACGCCAGCGTTGTTTGGAATTAAGGCGTGAAGTTAATTACGGCCTACGTTTCTTCATTAACAAAGTGAGTTTTTTTTACCGAGCCATGATTTGTTGTTGTGGACAGACCTAAAAACTTTGGAGATGAAAGGGTTAATCAAATCAATGCAAACAGCTCGTCATATCTAGTTTACGAAGACATAGAAATTATTGTTAATGTCAGGAAAAGAAATTTTAAATCTCGTAATTATTCTCTATCATTTTCGATTCCTTTTCAGCAAAGCTATATCTGGTCCCTTAAATGTATTAATTTCTAGATCTGAAGAAAGAATCCAATCCTTGGCCTCATTCCCCAAAGTGTTGTCATATGTCATATGCCGGCAGTTGCGTAACGTCTTAACTCTACGGCGGCAAGGCTTTTCATCCTTGTAAAGTTAAATGATTCTTTTTTTCTCGATGTGCAGGGGATTTCCATAGCTCGAACTACACCAATATTAAATGTACAGGTTGCAGTAGATGACAGCGAGCCCTTGTTTCAAGGGTAAGATTAGCAAAAGCTAGTTTTAAAACATTTACAAGATTTTTTTTATTTACTTTGTTTAGCACTAGCGTGCTGCTCTCTAGCATATTCAGCTCTTGCTTGTCATAATTAATTATTTAATTGTCGAAAACAACAAATAGATACATGATTAAAGTGTCAGTGGGATATTAAAAATGTGAATTCCACGAGGCGATTATTGGAAAAGCCTTTGGAAGGACATTTTTTCAGTTTCACCATTTAAAAAGCAAAATCTTTTATTTATTTGCCCCGAAACAAGATTTTTTGCTTATCTACGTTATATCTAAGTGGCAAGACTGTTTCCCCGCTGTAGTCTGCCCTAGCTTGTCATAATACATAATTTAATAGTCAACCAAAAAAAATGAAAAAATAAAATATTGGAATTTTTCATTCTTGATTTTTTTCACAGAAATAAAACTAAAGTCAACGTAAATGTAACCCATAATAACAACTCAACGTCTGCGGTTGGCCATGTAACTATCATTCTACAGGCTTCATTTAAAGCAGAATTCAGTTCAGTAAACTTAACTTCGTTCTCAGTGATTCCAGATGTGCTACAAAATAACAGAGTCGAGGTACGATTCCTCTCTTGTTCACATTTCTATTCAGTAAATCATCTCATTTCAAGGAAATACTGGAAAAAAGGTATAATCACAAACAAATATAACGGAAGCCGTCAGTGGACGTTCCCAAAATTGAACCGCGTGTGTCTTGTAAGTTCCCATCCATGTCTTATCTCTTTGTGCATAGTGTTAAGTTCGATCACAGTTTTACAAAACAATTAAAAAAGCAGGAGAAATCTTGAATTAACTAATGTAGTCAAAAAGTTGAATTGATTCAGTTAGTTGTAGTTCATAATACCGTTCTTTGGCTTTTTTCAGCTCAACAGGCTCGAGCTGGGTCAACAATTCTCGTATGAAGTAGTCATTTCCATTGATCCTCAAGGACTCACTGAGCCCGGTCGCCTTCACGTAGCTTATGTGATCAGCACCATAACATATAGCGGTGAATACGATAATTTTACAGATCCAAATAACGGAACAAGGCTGACTAAAACTTCTGACAATTTTCACACTTCGTTCTACTTCTACGTACCAGGTTTGTTACGGAGTGCTAGACTAGACGCCTTTAACTTGTCTCTGCTAAGTACACCAATATGAAAAAAAGGCATCAAATGTGGTCGTAATAAAAGAACTCAAGAGCCATCAAGTTTCATTCTTTCTCGGCCATGACGTACGGACCTCGCTGTGCTTGATCCGTACCTCATGACCTCGAAGGATATAGTGTATTTTCAACGTCTCATTACTTCATCTCTTTACTGAAACCAAGAAAATTTCTAATGATGAACGAAGGTTGTGAAAAGAGTAGAAATTGTTTCGGAGCCTACATGATGGAAGCTGTTATTATCCATCAATCTGCATGTTGAAACATCGGGTAAATTTTTTTTAAAGTAGCATCTTCTTTTCTATGCAAATCTTCACATAGGTCGAAGATGACCATTAACAAGACAAAAGGTAACATAGTACGAACTACTTTTGAAACAAGCCGCCTCACAGCGAAATTGTAATTATAGAGATGAAACCTCTCACAGCCAATATCTCTGACAAACCGATCGCGAAAATGTGCCAAAGATATCGTGATATGCACAGCCTATAATTTTTTCTTATTAGATTCCCCCTGTGTTCAACCGCTGGGTATGAGAAGTGGGTACATCAAGGAGAGCCAACTTTTATCATCGTCATTCTTCAAGACATCTCAAGATTCACTTGGTCACAGTCCCCATCGGGCTAGGCTTGGCAGCTCAGGGCACTGGTCCCCTGCCAATGGAAGGTCTTCAATTGACAGAGAACAGTTTATACTAATCAACTTTGAGAGATTCATCCGTCTAAAAATGGTTTGTTTGAGCACCTTTTGTTGTGCAAAACTACTTAAACAAAGATTTATGTGTGTCGAGGTCACTTTTTAAAGAAGTGTAAGTCAGTTGTTTACGCTCAGGGTTAAAAAAAGTGATCAATTTATGGATTTTATTTCATAGTTTAGTCTACAAACTATTATTGGTTGACTGCATTGGCTTTGTTCACTTATTTCTTAAAATTCTAGATCGTGTTACAAGGAAAACCAAATTCTGAAGAACACGTCCAAACTTTTAATGCTTGGACGAGTCTTGACGGGGAGGAGTGGAAGAAAGAAAAACCTCTACCTAAGGTTTCCATATGATTATATTTTTTAACTAATAGCTTGCAATCGGTGCACTTACTAACAGGAATTAATAGATTATTTATGTTTCATAGGCATCTCCGAACGGCGATCACTCTAAATAACTGACTTTCGAATTAATGGATGAGCTGCCTATTCTATACTGAGCTTATTCATGAGAATCTGTTTACTTAAATCTGCACAGCCTAGTGCCTGGTTCCGTGAATGAAAGAGCGAGAAGAAAGGAAGAAAGAAAAAAAGGTGGTGCTAATTTATGACAAAATCGGGTCGGGCGGGAAATATTGGCTCCACACCTCTTGACCACGAGCCACCGAATGTTTTACCGTCAGGCACTCTCACTTAATCAAAGAAGCAAAGAAATAACCCTCTCACTTAATCAAAGTAGCAAAGAAACAAATTTCTACCGTGTTAGCCAGGTATGAACAATGGCTACGAACACGCTCTCCAAAATCAATTGTTTTTATGCGCAATTTAATTGTAAACGTGTCATACCATTAGCGTGCGAGCGTGTTATAACGTGCCGTGTGCGTGCGTTTACCTTATTCTCTGAAGCCCCGCGGAGGGTGACATATTCTTAATCGTAGACCCCGTATTTAACATTGACTTTTTTCCTCGACTGTTTTTCTCTAACTTTTAGCTGGAATAGACTTCAGCGCGCCTCACTAGAAATCATACTACCAGCCAGGCACAACTTTATGAAAACTGTTGTCCCTTGATTGTTCACGTAGCAGTCGAAACCCCTCTATTTGTTCGCATGTGTTTTAATCTATTCCCAGTTGTCTGTAAAAGCGCTTTCCCTGCCTCAGCAAGCAAAATCAACTTTTGTTATTTTTTTCTTTTTTTTTTCATCGTGAAAGATCTTTAATCGTTATAATTTTTTTGCCAGGGCCTTGTCAACGTAACAAATGGAAACGCGGCAATCCCAACGGCTTACAGGTCTCCTACTTCTATTCGATTTCTAAGAATTCAGCCTACTTCTTGGCACAAAGGAAGTGCTCTTCGAATTGAAGTTTACGGGTGTTACATAAATGAGACAGCACCCACAAAAGGTAGGTTTGTTGATCCATTAGACTGCTGTTTGCTTAGCCTCTGATTTTGCAGTAAAGGTGCATAAAAATTGTAGGATAAAAATTTATCTTTGTATGGAACATTTAAAACAAAGATATGTTTGGAGACGTACACGTGCCTATACTGGTCAAGCCTAGAACTTTCGTCACAGACCGTCTGAGGCAATAGAGCAGAAGATTTTTCTCGAAACACAGTTTAGTCTTTGAACAATTGCCTAACATTAGAAGACGATATACCTGTTCAGTTAAGAAATATCCATTTAAGAAATATCACGCATGTCTTTGAGCAATTTCACGTCACGTTCGCTCTCTCTTATCTTTAGTAACTCTCTTGGCCGGCGCATCAGAGCACGTGCAGCTACCTAACAGTGAATCATCACAATTGGACTATCATTTTACGTGTAACTATAGTTATAGTTGGGTTGTTAGTCAAGACCACTAAAGTTTGGGACCAATGGCCTTTAATCCCACTCTTGAATTGAATAATTATTCAAATCGTTTCATCTGATAGCTTAAATGTCCAATGCCACTTTTAACATAAAGTATGTCAATTAGCAACACGCTAACTTTGTGAAAGTGAGATAATATCTTTGAAAAAAATTTGAATCCTTTTTTTAGGAACACAATCCGTGCTACGCATGCTCCGAGGCTGTCCTACCGGCGGGAGAATAGTCAATGATGCTCAAATTCTAAAAGCATCCTGTATGCAGACAGATTGAAGAAAAAACTTAAGTTCTAAGTTCTGCCGTTGAATTTTTACTTGTTTCAGAGTTCCCTGCACTTGGAGTGGAGAAGCAGCTAATAACAGATACTCAGATGACTGCTTCCTCCAACACTGATCTGCCAAAGTTGAATGCTTCTAGTGGCCGATTGAACTTCAACAGCGCTTGGTGCTCAGCAAACTCCAATGAGCTACCGCTCTTTTTACAAATTGATCTTCATGAAATCCACATAATTACAGCGGTAAGTATGAAAGTGAATGATTTGCAGTCTCAAGGTTACCGTGAGTTACTGACCGTTCTTTGAGAGCGACACAGTTCCTTACGATGTTATTCACTTTTGCCACGAAAATACAATGTAATCGAAATTCAGAGCTGCTGATCTACACCCTCGTGCTCCACCACTGAGTTTCACAAAATCGATGGTTAGGCAAATCAATACATGGTTTATGTGTTATAAGCGTCCTGTACGTTGCCATTCCTGAACGAAATGTTCCTTTCATTACTTCCTTCTTTGTATCCGATTATCTCGTCGAAAAACTCATTTTATGGAATTTACCATCTTCCCAAACAGCTTTGAATAACGGCAACCAAAGCAAAACAGGAGGAAAAGTCTTAATGCATTGTTTTATTTCTTCAAATTGTAGGTCGCTACCCAGCCACGGCATTCAAATATCGGTAATATTCAAAGCGTGACAAAATACAACTTGAATTACTCAGAGGATGGAGCCAATTGGAGAATATATCAACATAATGGGAAGGACAAGGTAGTTTTTTTTCTTCATTTTATAAATTTCAGGACAAAGTTATAAATGTCACCAACCTGCAGGGGGGAAAATTTCCCTAGAGATGCACTAATATAGCATTCCAACCAAAAGGAGTAGCAATAATCCTTAGGCTCCAACTTCTAAAAACCGAGGAAGGCGTTAATTTAAGAGGGGGTGAATAGGGGTATGCAAATCCGCCGATCTACTATAATTTGATAACCAAATCCGTCAATCCGTTAAAAAAATCGTTAAATCCGAATCCGTTTGCTAATTGCGCACTCCGCTTAAATCTGTCCATTATTGTAGGTATATTGATTCTACTTACTTAACAGCTTATCGGTTTCGTTTAATATTGATGGGATTTCAAGTTCCAACTGCTTGTCAGTGTCAGTGGTGTATCTTGACGTCCAGATACACGAGAACTCCTGTTGAGCTTGATGGCAATATTTTCACCCAAACCAAGCTCTTTTGCCGTGGAGTCCAATGCAGCAAACTCACTAAATAAAATTAGAAAGCGAAATTTTATAAGGCAATTTAAGTACCAATAGGCTTTAGAGACCTTTCAATCAATTTCTATTGGCCACAAAATTACTGCTTTGCCTGTTAAAAGTTTTCATAAATTAAAAACTTACCACACGTTTTTACAATGCTAGAAGCTTGGTCACGCTTTTCTAAGTGTCGGAATCCACTTGGCAGCGAATTTTTTTTTTTTAATGTAATCATAGCCTTTGGCCCCTTCATTTTAAAAAGAATGCAACGCATTCTATTGTCGTCAACTCCATTAATACCTACTAAACACGAACAGAGAACTAAGTGAAATCGATGTCAATATACCAGCATGGTCGGCATGTACCACGCGGTTCGTTCAAAGGTCGGCAAACAGTGCTTTAGAAATGTACTTAAAATGCGTCCAAGTCAGAGGTCATCTTTCAGATCACATACCAAATATGCTCTGCGAAAAACCACCGGGAAAACTGGACAATAACAGCGCCAAAGACCATAGCTTTCCAATTGAGCCAATCGCAACCAGAGCGATACAGTGTCACGGATAAGAGCGTGAACACAACGCACGTCCCGCTGGCAACATGTCACGGTGTCCTGCTGGCCATAGTGTGTTACTATTTCCCTGATGCGTGACATTCACCCTCCTCATTTAAATGTATGAACGACGATATTTAGGATACTCACCTTCTCACCTAACAGTTTCGTTGTTGTTGTTGATCTTCAGAAGTTCCTTGGAAACTTAGTTGAAGATATCGCTACTAAAACTCACCTGCCAATTCCGGTGAAGGCGCGACTGATTCGATTTCTACCTCTTGGAATGATATCTTCTACATGTATGCGAGTTGAACTATATGGAGAAAAATCTTCCACGGAAAGTACAGGTAAATGGTCTTCAAAAAAGTGAATGTTATGAAATCTATTTTTCTGAAAGGCAAAGGAAAAGAATGCTACTTAATATTCTTAATGATATTTTTGGCCCTCAGTTACGTTTTCGTTGCTTTTTTGTTTCGCCTAGAGTTTGCAAACCTAGACTGAGCTTAGTTCCTTCTACCAACTTCTGCTCGTCCAATATCATTTGCTTCTCTTCTCGTAAACAAGCGATCCCTTGATTTGTCTCTAATTTACCTTATACTATCGATATTTTCAATTCCACAACAGACTTTGTCAATGCTTTCAAGTTGCCTCCCGGGTTACCAATCTATTTCCTTAAGTTTGCAGGATTTTTTTGGAATGTATTATGTTCTAGGAAGTGACAACAACGACTTAGGTGTTAGGAATAATATTTCCCACATGATTTATACTGACTTGTTTATATGAATGGTACAAAGAGCCTTTATTTTTACTTAGACGCTACTCCAGTTTGCCTCGCCCCTCAAGATGTGGCTTGGTAGCTCAGTTAGCACGGTAGCACCCAATTAACATTTGGGAGGCCTAGGTTCTAGCCCCTTTGAAGGCTAATTTAGTTGCGAATCAATTCCATCTATTCCATCAATTCCAATTACATACCTTTAGGAATGAAATTACAATTTTCCCGCACCTCCAAAAAAGTGAAGTATACATATAGGAAAATAGATCAAAAGATCCTTTTTTATGATATAAACATGTTCTATATCTTTTTGAAGGAAAGCCTCCGGTCTATCAACGAAGTATTCTTCTAGATGATAAAAACAAAATGCTTTTCTTATGTAACAAAGAATTTTTAAGGTACGTAGGTAACAGACGGAATATTCCTACTTAGGGTCGCAAATTTTAAACAACAGTATTAGCATGATTAAATCGATTTCATGTCCCTTTCGAGAATCATCCAGACTCCCACAGTATTTGCCGTATCGGACAGACTCTTGAAATATGTGACATTTTGTCACTTGATGCCGGAGAATGAGAAGCAGCCCCAGGTGATAATAAACCAGAGAAATAATGTCAGAAGATGTTATTTTTATTATTTTGATCTTTTACTTGTCTTACAGAAGGTACCATCCCAGCATAAAAATCTACATATAAATCATGTTATGGTCATTTTGGTAGGAAATCCTGTATAGCTATTGTGCATGTATAACCTAACCTATTGATGTTCAATGAGTTTTAGACGCCTTTTCGTAAAGTGAGAGTAAACTGAGTCAAGACGGTAACAAATGCATCTTTTGATCGGAATCAAAATTTCCTTTTTCCTGAATTAACGTGATTAAATCGCCCCTTGTGCCCACACAGGATCAAGGCGGTATGCTTTATCAGGAGATATTTAATGGACGAAAGTTGGATTGGTAAGCTGACGTTATTAATCCTTATTCTATCCTTTGCAGTGGTACAGGCGTCTTCTCTTCCTCTTTTTAGTCCCTCTTAATGTCTTCTTTCTTTTCCTAACCTCATCGCTCCCGTGCCAGGCGGGAGACATCCACCGTCCTCCTCTTCCTTTCTCGATCCTGGGCTTCGACTTTCATTTATGTTCCGCTGACCTCCCCTACTTAGTGTTCAGTTGTTTGTTAGTTTGGCTTATTTGCTTGTTTGTTTGCCTTTTTTTTAATTTTTTTTTTACCTTCCCATTCCCTTTCGACACACGAGAGAGGCCTGTTTGATTACACTATGGCGTGGTATCATCTAAGGCGGACACATTTTATTTCTTTTCTTTTTGTTTTGAACCAGAAAGCCCTCTGTGTCTATACTCCCAGTGTCTTCATCGATAACGATATTAAGTCAATTCACTCTAGGGAAAAACCGTAGTCTTCTTCTTTGTCAAAAATACAATATTCAAGAAAAGACATGAGATCGGAAGAATGAGTCTATTTTAACTGTTTATAGACTCCGTCCTAACTGCGAGCCTGCTCCCCTTCCAGATCACCACTATTGAAATTAGTTGCTCTCACCCTTACCAGCTCGCCCTCGGTTCGAAGGGAATTTTTTTTTTTTTTTCAGCCTTGGACAGACGCATTGTCAGCATTCTTGGTTATGATCAAAATGAAGACGTTATCTATGGCGTGGCCAGGAACAGAAGATCATACTTACGATGTAACATTACCAAGTGTGCTGCTATTCCAAGTGAAGTCTGGTTAAGGTTGAGGGATTTGTCAACCACAATCTTATCCACAGAGATTGCTTTTGTTCCGGAGACAGGCCATGATTTTACTGATACTCCAATTTCTGGATACAAACTGGTTGATAACGACGGCAATAAATGGGGAGGTGTTTAAAGCTCATAATCATCATCTTTGGAGCGTTTTAATGTCTAAGATCTCTTTAAAAAATATATAGTTCATCTAAGTTGCAAATAATGAGAAACACTCTATGCTACAAGGTTTTTCTATCTGCCATTCAGGACATATGAAAAAGTTGGAGGAGGGGGAAAAGGGGGTGGCGGGTAGGGAGGTCTCCAGTTTCACCACCAGATTGGTGGTTTATTTTGTGCCACTCTTCGTCTCTTCAGATCTCGAAAGGAGGAGTCAGGTGACAATTAAAAGACTTCTAATTTGTCTCTGCCGGTTTGCATTTTTTCAGTTAGGATCTATCAATCTTCCTTAAACTGACGATGATCCAACTTTATTCTAATCATCGATTTTCCTTTTCATTCTAATTTTTTTAACTTACAGCTTCAGCAGTGGGTCTTCATTTCTTCAAAGGGGAAGAGCAAACATGGAAATTGATGGCCCATTGGCGGGCTAGGGGTAAGAGGTTTTTTTAATTCTATTTCTTTTCATTTTCATAACATGATTTGTCCTGTTTTAAATCGATAAATCAACAATGAAAACAAACAAATTGAGGGTTGGTTTAACGATGAAAAGAAATGACGGAAACGAAGGACACATGCGCGGAGAAGACAAAATATAGACAGATGCGTTTGACCACTTAACTACTATCTAGTTTTTGTTTTGGTTTTTGTTTTTGTTTTTTTTTTTTGTAGATTCAACTACATTGTTAAAAACAGTGACTGCCTTGCAAAGAATTAAAAAAATTAAAAAGATTAGAAACAACTGATTGATTCACTGCTTTTCTTGTCAGATCTAAACAAATGTTACAGTGGACCTTGTGATAATGGCGGTTCTTGTGTTGGGAATAAAAATGAATACACTTGCATCTGCCTCAGCGATTGGGCAGGAAAGAACTGTGAAACCAAGTGTGAGTGCCCTCTTGAACATTATTATCATGATCAACAATGAGAATGATTTAAATTGCATCTCATTTATACGATATTGATTGATTAGAGGCATCCATCCATCCATACATTCGAGTGGCTGAGGTTTCTTCTGTTTGTTCGTTCGTTCATTAAATATCCTGTCTTGATACCTTGCTTATTTTCTTGCTTGCACGTTTGGTTTATTATATTTTGTTCTTTTCCAAATTAAACTTTTTCCACTTCTTGAATTGTTAAAAGTTTTATTAAACTTTATCCCATGCATTTTTTCTTCTGTGTAGTTGTTGTCCCTCAAGTTGAGGTGACGAAGTCCACCTGCAATTCAACCACGAACAAAGTGGAAACGGGAACAATCAACACTCCAGAATATCCCAAGGACTATGGCAGTAATAGTCGTTGTGAATGGCTTATTACCTCATCACATCGGATTAAACTGGTTTTTAATTACTTTTTCGTGGAGAATGGTTGGGATTATTTCCATGTTTACGAGGGAAAATCTACCAGTTCCAAACGGATTGGCAAGCTTACTGGAGGTCATACTAACAAAGTCATCAAAAGTTCTGGAAATTACCTTTATCTAAAGTTCACCTCCGATTCAGTAATCAACAAAAAAGGATTCTTGATAGCTTATGAAGGTAACTCAGTTACATCATTGATACTGTTACTATTATAGATGTACTTTTTATTAGTGAACATCTCAATTTCCTCGAAGTCTTTCAAATTGTCTGTTTGTGTGGCTCACTTCTCGTCTTTCCTTTTTTCGGTTTTGTTCAAATTTGTGACATAATATCATTCTTATCTTACAGGCATAATTTAACAGAGTCTTAACAAGACTCTGCCGTCTTGTCGAGGAAGGGTAGAGATGAAGGCCACTGCTATCGCTCAACCGGGAGACTCTAACAGACACTTGAGATTTGATTTGCCCTAACCTCAAAACCCTTATTGAAAGATTACAAAGATCAAGAATTTTTCCTTGAGTCCATTTCACCCGATTCATTTTTTAACTTTATACAGTATCTGAAATCTGCCTCTTCACACATCTGCATAACTTTTGCTCGATAAATTCCACTTCCTCCGTGTTCGAAGTCATTCTTATATACAAAGTTTCTATGCTGTCAGTCAGTATGCTAATTTAAATCGGACTTTCAGGCCAATAAAAAGCTTCTTTCGGACTCCTCGGAAATCACTCTCGTGCGATATACTTAACCTGTGAATAATCTCCCTAAAATGAGATCATCCAAGACTCAAGACTGCAAGGTTGTCAGTCTCTTCCCCAACTAATTTCCTCTTGCTCATAATGCGCCACAGCAACAACACTTGTTGTTAACAATCAAATCCAATCATCAATTAAAAGTGGAAGTATTTGCCATTTTGGGCTTGGTTAAGAATTTCCTTGCATTTACAAATTCCCGACTACTAAAGTTCTCATTTCCGGTTAAATTGCTTCCATCAAAGTTCCTTACGGTGGAATGGATTCGGAAGAACAACACTATTTAAAGCTTGAGCCTGAGTATTTAATGCCATCCTTGGTAACAGAAACTGGACAAAAATGAAATAATTATATTAATATTATGGTTATCAACCCAAAACTAGACAAAAAAATCTTATAGGTGCATTTATTAAATAATTATACAAACATACTCCGCCGTGAGGGATTCGCCAGACAGTTCGTTCATATTGGAATCATCCTGCAAATGTTTAATTTTTCCGATTAAATATGTGTCCATATAATGATATTGCTAAATCTCTAAAGACAAAGGCTAACTTCCTATCTACTGAGGACTTTCTATTATGTAGCCTTTTAGTATTACGTGTCAGTGCAACTGATGCCATCAAGGAATGATAGAGGAACACTCTACGCTGGCATCCCCAGAGTGATCACAATTGTAATCGTTATGGCTGCACTCGTAGATATGAGATTTATTCCCTGTGCATTCCAAACTATGAATCCATATCTGACCTGATCCTTGACCATGCGTGGCGCTGCTAAAGGCTTTAATGGCTGAAGGGAAACCAAGCTGTCTGCAGATCACGTGAGCGTCGTTAATGTCCCAGCCGTCGTCACAGATTGTTCCCCATTGGCCGTCAGCGAAAACTTTCACCCTTCCCAGTTAATGACGTGTTACCAATAAGGCGGATCTCGTTTACAACTGAATCACAGCGAAAAAAAAAGTTAGGAAGAGTTTGAAACTGAAGGTTGTAATCGTTCTTGCCAAATCGATTGGATATTCTTTGACAACGCCCAAGGACAGATATGAATATAGTCCCCTTTTAACATTTAAGCGGTCCTTGATACGAAGAGAGCAGATTTAGATAGCTCATGTTAGCTGGACTGCTGAATTGAATTGCATATCCAGGCTTCGTAAACATTCTAAAGCATAAACTACGACCGACGGAAAAATATAAAGTGGCAATTTTTTTGGCGTTAAAAATTACGCTTACCACGGTAACTTGCCCCAAACCCTGGTTTCCTGACGCTGAGGTCACTTGTAAAAGTGATGAAGAGTTGGTTTGATGAACTTGTAACGACTGGAGGCAGAGAGGTTCCATGATATCGCCCAATCAATGGAGATGATGTAGATCTGCCATCGTACACGTTTACGAAGTCGTACCACCACTCAGTGTCGAATTTGAAGAATGTAAGCATAATGTTGTTGTCCGAAAGGAGACTCCAACTGCAATTCATATGGTTAGAGTAGTGCTGAGCTTTGTTTGAATACAGTATGCCACTCGAACCGGAAAGAACAGTCGAAGAGTTGGCGCATGAACTTGAAACGGTCACAAATGACTGTACTTGAACTGTTAGGGAATATAAATAACGCATTGATAATGACTGCCAAGACAAAACCAAATTTATTGAGAGGAGATGAATAAATGTTTTGCTGATAAATTACTGATGAGTTTTCAACCACTCCAAAATTTTTATGCGCCCTTTCTCTCCAAATTTTCCAGATCAAGCAATTGCTGCACCGAGAACATCAGCAGTTCTTTAATTTGGGATTCTAATTTTGACCACGCCAAGGTCAGGTTTCTATCAAAAATTGTGTATTTTGACTTCGTTGCTACCTTGTTCATTCAAAATAATTTCCATGGAAAACTTGTTCAAATGAACGACTATTTAATATGGAACCAACCAAACAAAAGAATTATCGAGTAGTTTAAGTAAGTCTATTGGGGCGCACTTTTAGTTTGTTACAATGATCCTGACTCTCTTTGTTGTTCAACAATTTCGGTCCAACAGGTTAATATTTCACCTCAAATTGACCTGATGAATGTCGATTGAAAATATTGTCTGACACCTTTTATCCTCGTGTTCTTGATAAGAAGTCGTGTACATGGAATTGCCGAATCGGGACTAGGGCTGAGTTCAAACATTTTCCGCTGATAAGGAGGTATGTACGCGATTTTTTTTTCTTCATCAACTTTTCCAGAACTCAATATTAAGCAATCAGCTTGATCTTTGAAGCTTTTTTTAAAATGTTTTAGGCAGCGTGGCGTTATTGGTCCATAGTGACTGTTATATCTAATTGGTAGCATTTGAATAAAAGATGTTAGATGTCTGCGGATACGAAATTTATGAATTTATTTTCGTGAGATATTTACAGGAGGCGAAAATTTCGTGTCCATAGTCGACACAAGACCATCCGTTTATTTTTGAGGTTTTTAAATCAGGCATTTCTCAACCAAGATAAATCAGCTGCACGTAAAACTCAGATCACAAAATACCAAATCAACATCGAACATTAAAAAACATGTAAATAGCTTGTTCACAACATGTGGTGAAGATCTCTTGTGTTTTAAACGGTGCAGCTGCGTTCTTTTTAGCCTTAAATATCTTTACAATGATTTTTTTCGCTTTTAGTTTTGAAACATTTTGAAAAAGCAATCTGAGGTGAATATTTCCGGCTTTTGAAAATTCTCGAAAGATGTGGAAATTTGCAGAGAATATGTCAGTGCAATAAGCATTCATCCCCTGGATTAGAACCTGCACGTCTTACCTTCGGTCTCCATGTGACAATAAGCCAACACAGGTATCTCGAGTATGCTGAAATCCAACCAGTATTTGCCGCTGACTGCTCTTCCTTCTTCACTATTATTAATTTCCTTACATGATTTTGCGGGCAGATCAGGTATGGAACCGAGAGAGACTGGTATTAAAAAAAATCACTTTTAAAGCGAATAACACTGGAAAAGTAAATAAATCAAATGAAAATCTGTAGAGAATGAGACTAAATGGATAGCTCCAAAGTGGGACGAAAGCACCTAGTCTACTCACCTCTATTCTTGTCTCGCCTGAAATAGTACCTCTCAGAGTTTGGTATAAAATCTTCAGGTCTGGCCTCTTTTGTGCGGTTGCTTAATTCACACATATCTTGGGTGAAGACGTAGTTAAAGCTTTGACATCTGACGTCGCGATAACAATCCCGCAAACACACATCACCGAAAACAGCTCCGGTAATCTTCTTGAAGATGTGTTTTTCTAACATCATCCCGAGGATGGACGCTTCTCTCTCTTCATTCAACTCCCCGATGGATAGTTGAAGGAAGAACTCAATCAAACCAAGAAAAATTAAGATGCGATAGAACTTCTCGAAATTCATGTCGGTTCGCTCCTCCAACCTACAATATGTGCCACGGAGACCAATCTCCAGATGTTAGGTATAAGTTTTGAGACACGAAATATCACGCAGCGCATGAAATTTTAAACAGGTAATGATATGCTGGTCCCCAGGGAAGCCTCGCTGCTGAAAAAATTAAAAAGGAGCTTGCGAGCTTCTGCCGATGAACGGCGTGATGCATCATGCTATGGATAAAAAAAAAACAGGAAAATAATTTCGAACTTTTTGAGCAACTAAATGCTTCACTAGAAACCATTAAATTAGTCAGATATGCTCCTGAAGGAATAATAATAAAACGGTTACCCCCTGATACAGATTCTCCTCTCTATTGATATAAAGATAACGAGCTGCATCATGCATGATTATAAACAGGTGACTTTTTAATAACCGAAATGTGAAAACTTTCTGACGATAATTTCATTTTGAAAGGTAGGGACATAAAGGCCTTAGTACCTAGAACTTTAACAACAATATTGATTATGTTTTTCTAGTGTTCAATCCGAGGTGCGGTAATCGTTAAATTTAACTCTTGTTTGACTTTGGATAAATTCCTCATGAGGCCTGGTTACATGTTGGTAGCAGTAATTAACTAACGTCAGACCTACTATAAAGAAGAAGAAAAATTTGCCGCCATTCCAGCTCGATAATCATTTATTTTTATTGACTTATTTGATTTTTTTATCCGGCCTATCGCTATGTTTTTCGAATAGTGCCTCTTCTTAAACCAAAGGAATGCTATGTTACAACCTACTCGAAAATGGTCGAAAATGTAGACTTAAGCTTCCTTTGACATAAGACCAAACAACATAAATTTATTTACATAAATTGCAATCATTCTTTGTCTCGTCAAATTGCTTTTACAGAAAGTTTGTGTCGGTGAAAACGTGAGTACAAAAGAAGTCTTTGCAAAGTATTATTACGATCATGATTGTTTTACAGTTTCTCGTGGAAATGAATTAAATGTAGCAAGAACTGTTGTCAAAGGTATAAAAAAGAAAAGGAAACGAAAATGGGAAAACGACAAAAAAAAATTTAGTTTTATTTCATAAATCGTCGTAGCATGATGCCACGTTTTAAAACTTCCCCGCAAACTTTTCAATTGACCGAGGAATATTGTTTGAAAATGTATGCGTGCTTTCTATCGGGAATAGATTAACTTTAGATGGAAAGAAAGGTTTCATCAGTCTTCGTTTCAATACCACGATAGATGGTCTAAGATTAAAACAATAACCGAGGTTATTGCCGCGCAATAGGGATATATTGCTTGCTGTTAATGTACCGTTTTAGGACCTGGAATCAAGAATCATTCATCAAGATGATTTAATCGAAATTTTCCAGTGGGCGCGTGGATGTGAAAAATTGACGCAATCTAATGTTTCACTAACAAAATGCATGCATTGGAAGGAACAAATATCGCGCCTTCTTAGCTCAAAAGCTTCTCATTAACGCCATTACGCAATAATGGACTATGGGTGTTTTGAAGATATTGTAAACAATGACATAATCGTTCCTGAGTTTATAGATAGCTATACCTTAGGAGCGATTAACTTAGGAATAAGGTAGATATAAAACAGACACTACATTATTTCTCGTGTTCCTTATTGACTAAAACAAACACCGGGTAAAATAAGTCTACTAAAAGGGTTGATTGAAAAAAAGAAGAACAAGTATAAAAATGAGGAAACAAACCAAAAAGAAAAATACTTCATTGCAGTGTAAGAAGGATGAAAAGATGGACTGCATACCTTTGTAATACAGCATCACGTTTTAAACGTCTAAATCACAAATTGGCTAAATTTCAAAAGGAATCCTCGATTCATCACTGCGTCAGGCTATCAGCGATATAATTATTTTTTCTCGCTAACTGATTTATTAGTGGACAATCTCAGAGTGATTTTGGAGAATTCAACATGTAAGATAGATTTACTATAGACTGATAAAAGTTAGAGGCCTACCATCATCTTAACTACTCGAAATAAGATTCACTGAAATAATTGTGGTACAACATGACAAAGCATTCTAAGCCAAACTCTTAATTGAAAAAAATTTTCATAATTGATGAACACTGCTACATATCAGCACACGAACGCCATGTTGGATTCACAACAACACGGCGTCATGCCCTACACAACAAACGCCTTCTTACATCCGGGTATATAAAGATCCGTTTTGGAAATTGCCTAGTTTTTCTCTGGATAAGTGGTTGAATGTTTTCTAAATTTCTCCAATTTAATGGGAATAATTTGTTAACCGAAATTATGCAATAAAAATAATGGTCATCGTGCTCGTTTCAGAGTGAAAGACCATCTCACCTCTTTACCTGGTCCATTGATTGAAAAGCAATACCGCGTTCTCGGAATACACGCGCGCTTATTCGTCCGATTACGTTATTTTTATGTGCAGTACAGGATGCGCAGTGCAACACTGAGTAAGCACCTTTAACGAAATACCGTAATTTCAAATAAAATGAAATTTCAGGGGCATGGGCACAATACTTCCAGGGTAAGCTTTTAAGTGTGTATGAGCTCCAGCTCATCCACAAGTGTAAAGGGTGTGAACAGATTATACAGGTGTTTTGTTTTGTGGAACCGAGCGAAGGAATTGATCGAGTACAGCTTTTTTTTTTAATATCCTGAACTCAATTCCCAGCACCGAGCACAAGAGTTATGTGTTATTAACTTACAGAGACAAGTTCTGGTTACAATTTTTTTAAACCTTCAAGCCTATCCAGTAGTGTTTAAAATGTTGCACATGTCTTTTTTCTTTGTGTAATAACCAACGTGGGAAACCGAAATAATTACTGCTCGGAGGGATCTCATAAACGAGCTTATGCTTAGCAAGGTCACGCGCGGCCACAAAGGTTCAAAAGAGGATTCGCACGTAATCCTGAAATTTTGAAGGTACCTGGCCGTTTTTTTAAATATATATTTTTTTAAAGTTAGAAGCATTTTTTCCTTAATTTTTAAAATGGTCAGAAACCGACTCGAGGGACTATTGGCTATTTTTATTTTTATTTGTGACTTTGTTATTGTATCCGAGATGGCATTGACTAGCAGTTGTTCCACTTCATTTTCATTACTGCAGGGGTGCATTTGCGTCTAGCCAAAATGAAATTCAGCTTAGAACCACTTGAGTTGATTGCTTTCTCTATAAGGTGACTCGGTGTATTCACGGATTTGAATGAGACTGGAGGGGAATAACGTTTTCTTTTCACTAAAATCCTTCAATCTCGAAAAGGTAACTCTCAAACGAATTCGTGGTCGCGAATTTAGTACCAATAACCACCCACGGCAGTTTTTTCAGGAACTTAAACAATGTGCAAGTTGACTTGATTATTTGTCAGAAACTGCAGCTGGCTTACCAGCTACAGAACATACGAGCTCGAAAGGTACAACATTATAAGTGGCTGGACAGAAAATATCTCATCCTTCTTTAATTATGGGTGTTTCTGCGCACTTGTAAAGACGTGCTCTCCTGATAAGTGTCTGCATCATTCACTCGATTTCCCGTGAGAATTTAGTGTGCATAACAACCTTAAAATTAACTGTACGCCAGAATACAAGGAATGATAGAGCTCCCTATCAATAAATAATGCATATTCTTTTTCCGGTGTTTTGAAGAATTTAGTTATTTATGATCCCTCTCGGGGTATAGTTGTATTATGTATGTGGGGATGATTCAATGTTAAAATCAGAGGTTGTTCGAGTTTTAGCCGATAGACGAAGTTTCCTAATTTTTACTCTTTTAATTTAACTGTTGGTGTAATTTTTTGTATTACATGCATAGCCATTGTAAATTACTTCGGCTTGGAATTCCATTAATCGATTAGTGTCTTTTCATCTTTCGTTATTCCCATATTTCGAAAGAACATTTTGCCGAATATTTTGGATAGCCATTCAGCTCCAAACTAATTCACTTTTTGACAACGGTTTTGAAGTATGTCTCGGTTACATGACGCTATTTTGCCGTTTTGCTTTTTGATTGGGCGAATCATGTAAACCTGTTTTCATCGCCCTTCCGCCCCTTTAAGAACGTCTTCAGGACTATTTTGTGAATAACAACAAATACCGGCAACAATTGGAATAACGGTCGATCGGAAGGTTCAAACCAAAGTTCCTTAAAGGAGAGAGGATTTAATGAGGTAGAAATTATCTTGAAGCTTCCACTCGGCGTGGCATGCTCATCTTTTCCAATACCTTCATCATCTTACTTAAGTGTAAGGCAGCTCGCATGAAATTAAATGTACACCATCACCTTCAATATGCGAGAGAACAAGTGCTGTCTTACCTTTGGAAATGTTTTTCTCTCCCTGAAATGCTTAAATCTCTAAAATGAACGGGAATGCTTATGCTTTAGTTTTCTTTTTGAAATTTCTCGGCAGTCTCAGACTGCGCTAATAAGGTTGAAAATTCGTAGAGGGAGACGCACCAACAGGTGAAGTTTGTCATATGGGGTTTATATCCACCCAAGGACGTTTATTAGCTTATCCTTAGGACGTACCTCCTGAGGTTCTTTTTTCACTGTAATTTATATATCTGTTATGTCCTAGAATGATCATCATATTACCACAGGTTGTTACTGTTTTGATTGACGTCGATTTTTTTAATTCAAATACACTATAACTTTTAATTCGGTGTTCGATGAGACATAGTTGCCTCTGAAATGTGAATTTTACACCCAGTTTGAGCTGTAAGTATTTTTAAACCTTTTTCAAAGCGGCTTTGCATACTCTCTAAGAGCCTTTCGATCTTTTTTATACATGTCTACAGATCAATGCTTTTATTGTTTAGAAATGTGCAGATTAGCAGGTGTTAAACTTGAAAAAAGCACCAGCAAATGAGTTAAACCCCGTAATGGCGATTATGTCTCTGAAATTGAAACTTTAACATTTGATGGAAGAGCAAAATACACCTTTTGCTGTTCATTTACACAAAATGTACAATCATTTACGTCAACAGTTGAAACTATACGGTAAATATACCTTCATTAGCACTTCCGTGAACTTCATTACCGTGAAAGAACTTTCAATAATGCTATTTGCATATGTATTACCATTCAATAGCATCAACGGATGAACAATTGCACCCTTGGACAATCAAACATAACAAATATACTTTCAATCTCGCGCAATGGTTGATCATGAAAACCAATAGAAAATCAATTGCATCGTACGACAATCAATTCCGTGTTAGAGACATACAATAATACAAGTTGCATAGAGACGCACAATCAATTGCACCTTCATACAATCGTTTGTTCAAAATGGTCAATCATTAAACATATAATAATAACAATCAGCTAGGGAAAAAGAAATTTCAAAACAGTGTACTGTAATGTAATGTTTTGTAATTATCCTTCAATTTCTTCATTATTTAAACATCTTGGAATGCGCGTTTGCATAAATCTGTACCACTGTTCACATTTAGCAGCCGTGATGGTGCCTACGTTTCTCTGCAGGGCCTAATGTAGCAGTACACCTTTTGCTGTTCATTTACGCAAAATGTATTATTGAATGTCTCTAATACGCAATTGATTGTCATACTATGCAATTGATTTTCTATTGGTGTTAAGGATCAATCATTACGCGAGATTGAAAATATATTGTTATGTTTGATTGTCCAAAGGTGCAATTGTTCATCCGTTGATGCTATTGAATGTTAATACATATGCAAATAGCGTTATTGAAAGTTCGTTCGCGTTTATGAATTTCATTGAAGTGCTAATGACTGTATATTTGCCGTATAGTTTCAACTGTTGACGTAAATGAATGTACATTTTGCGTAAATGAACAGCAAAAGGTGTAAAATGAGTGCGGCAATTGCCTAACGCAATTCCTTGTCGTCTTGCCTCTGCACTGTCGTTCATCTGTTCTTGCTGCTCTGGACAACTTATGTCCACTTTTATGGCTGCTTTTAAGGCACTTATTGCTTGCTCTAGGATGTTAAGAAACGGGCTGTACGATGGTAGCCTTTTTAAGCTCAAAACTAGGACCAGGAATGGCAGGATTGTTGTGGGCTGGTGCGCCGTCATAAATGAAAATCACATGTTCATTTGGGTCGATATTTAGCTTTGCCTTTGACAGAAAATCATTAAATCTTTGTCCATTCATTCCACCGAGAAATGCCGAGTGAAAAACTATTCCATTGGCGGGTGAAATTACCAGTGCTACAGTAACATTTCTCCCTCGCTGACCACATACTTGTCGATATGCCCTCTCTCCCATCCTTGCTCGTCCGTGTCTTCTTGCCGTCCAAATATTGTACCCACACTCGTCTAAAAATATTCTATGATTCACTACAGCATGACGCATGAACCAGCTAGCATATTCGACTCTTTTCTGTAGGACATCAGGGTGGTTTCGTTCAACTGGGAGTGGCCTTGCCAATTTTACACGATATGACATACCTTCAAGTGTTCTTGCTACTGTACGGTCATGGATTGTTGGTTTTCTTGGAAGACGGTGTCTCAATTCTTGGTATATCTCTGCTAGTGTTGGTAGGCAATTTTCGTTTAAAATGTCATTCGGGTAATTCCTCATTCATCATCTACTCGATAGTAGCGGCAACCGTCAAGTAATCTTCATTAACATCTTCGAAGGCTTGAATAATTCTTTGTCGCTGTTCAAGTAGGATTCTGTTTCTTGGTGGCATGATTTTCTTCGGTTATTTCTGTCTCCAATGCGTCTCCTTGTTCATACAGCGTACTCTGTTTCTTACAGTGTACTGTACATGTAAAATGTTCTTCATTTTATATCTGCTTCAGCAAAATATTGTGCAAAAAAAAAACACATAAAATCGAAATGATAATGTACATACTCTTTTATTTTTGTTCAGTAATTTAAATACACGCAACTACGCTGAATGACACTGATGAATATTTTTTCTTCCTACTGGTTATTCTAAAAACACCAATGTTTGTCAGTTCGCGTTAACGATTTACCATTTTGAATAAACGATTGTATGAAGGTGCAACTGATTGTGCGTCTCTATGCAAATTGTATTATTGTATGTCTCTAATACGCAATTGATTGTCATACTATGCAATTGATTTTCTATTAGTGTTAATGATCAACCGTTGCGCGAGGTTGAAAGTCTATCTGTTATGTTTGATTGTCCAAGTGGAAGTGCTAATGAATGTATATTTGCCGTATAGTTTCAACTGTTGACGTAAATGAAAGTACATTTTGCGTAAATGAACAGCAAAAGGTGTGGTTAACATAATTTGAGTGCTTTTCCCCACTGTATTGACCAGGGATTTGTCAGGATTTCTCAGAGAGTTCTCAAAAGGAGATTTAAAGCTTAACTAGCGATAATACATGACAGAACAAAACGATAGAAATGATAATAACAATAGTAATAATAATTATAATTTCAAGACGTCCAAGAGATAACTGAATATCCCGCATGGAGTTTAATTACAAGAGATACCTGAATGGAGCCCTTTTATGAAAGTGGTATTTTAAATGCAATGGAACTCAGGGCCCGACATAACCGTTCACAATTGAGTAAAACACCCTCCCCATTTTTTTTTTTAATTCAATTGATCAATGAATTATTGAGGAACTTTCTAGACTTGCGTCTTCGGAGTGATCACAATCTTCATTTCCCATTTCAAAAAAAAAATATTGTAATAACCTCCGTCAATTGGTACGTCTCAACAATAATAGTTGAATTTACGGAGAAGTGCCAAGAATATTTTTGAGTAAATAGGACTCTTTAGAAGGTATTTCCATAGCAATTTATGGAAAGCGCTAAGACTGTAAATTCATGAATTTTGGAAAACTCCGCTCCCCTGTCCTTCCATTAGTTACTTTCGGGGGTGAGTGATTTAAACAGGTGATTGCCATAACGTTAACCCGATCAAGGGATTGTGGAGGAGCATTCTACACTGGCGTCTTCGTTGTGTCCACAATCATGATTTCCCCATCCATCATGGTTGCACTCGTCGATGCGTAACTCATATCCTGAGCAGTCCAGACTATCAATCCATATCTGACCAGACCCTTGACCATGCTTGGCGCTATGAAAGGCTTGAGTGGCTGAAGGAAAGCCAAGCTGTCTGCAAATCACATGAGCGTCGTTGATGTCCCAGCCGTCTTCACAGATTATTCCCCATTGGCCGCCATGGTAAACTTCTACCCTCCCGGTCAGTGTCGTGTTTCCTCCAACAAGGCGAATTGTGTTATAAGCTGTATGAAAAAAAATTCAAAAACACTATTATTAATAGGCTTTTGCCGTTATTCTCTCCACTATTATAAGTCAGATTATCTTAAGGAACATTGATTTCACAGGTGCACCATGATCAACAACCATTTACTGAAGTGGAGGTGGCTAGTGTTGAATATTTCACTGTGATAAATAGTTGGCTTTGTAAATACCAAAACAGTACGATGATATGGCACGAAATGATGATTTTAACTCACTTATAACGATTACAAAGTATTCGGGCGCAAATCCCGCGCGCGTTAGTCGGTGAAAAGCAAAAGATGTTCAGAGTTTGAGTAGCCATAAGAATTCACCTTCAACTCTATCCAGTTTAGTATACAAAAATATATCATTGTCATGGTTCGCTGTTCGCTTTTTCATTCATACCTCAGTTATTTCACTCGTGTTCTTCCTTTGCCGCATGGCTAAGTCACTCATTACTTATTGTAAGAATTTATGTCTCTACCCATTCTTTATCTGTTCACTGTTTCTAGAGCGCATGCCTCAAACCAATTTTTCTGTGGTTAAATTTGGTTTTCTCTCTTGAACTATAGTCATATATTTACATCGACGCTTTTGTTAAAGTAACTACCTTGGTTGTTTATTTCTGAGTTTTATTGAAGGAGGCGAAGCCCCAGTTACTCGGCATTAGAACCTTTGATTTTGCAAAACCTGTAAATATTTATATCTCTGATGTGATCTGCTTATGGTTTAAAAGCCACCTAGTTATCAGGCTAACCAAGTCGAGTGGAAATGTAGGATTGAAGGACAGTAAACATCTGTTCGCCAAATCGGAGGTGGCTTGTTATGGAAATTTACCAAGCCTCGAAGCGGCAAGTTAAATACCCACTCACCGACATTGAGGTGAAAAAATGTTTTAATATATAATAAAACATTGATATGATATAACAAAAAAGGTGATTTTAATTCATTTCTTCCTGCAACGATTACAATATTTTCGGGCGCGAATCCCGCTCGAGTTGTTCGGAGGTGAATAGAAGGGGATATTTGGAGTCTGAGTAGCCAATCAGAGCGCGCCTTCAAAGCTATCCACCGTTTTAGTATATGCTAATTATTCTGAATCATTCTTTCATTTCACTTACTTTTGCAGTAATTACAAGAGTACACGAATTCTGAAAAGTTTTGCAAAGATGTCTTACCATGGTAACTTGCCGCAAACCCAGTACTTGAAACTTTGGTGTCACTGCTAAAGGTAACATAAAGCTGATTGGATGAGCTTGTGATGACCGCTGGCAAGGAGTTTCCGTGGTATTTGCCTATTAAAGAGGACATCATAGATCCACCATCGTACACGTAGATATAGTCGTGATTTTCTTCAGTATCGAATCTGAAAAATACTAGTTCCACATTAGTACTAGAAAATATACTCCAACTGCAGTTCACATTATGAGCGTAGGCACCATCTCTGTTTGAAAATATTATTCCACTTGAACTTGATCGAACTGTCAACTTGTCCGCACATGAACTCGAAACAGTCGCAAATGGCTGACCAGATACTGAAAGAGACGATAAAATAACGTTAAGAAATGAAAACAATAGAAATAAATACCACATTATCAAAAAATGTTGAACCAAAAGAACAGAATGCGAAAACGATTTTTTAGAATTCCTTTTTAGCCGTTTACGAGAACAATATCAAGAAAGCGACATGTTGAAAACAACGTAGTACGCTCGACTTTGCATACATTAGTTGTAGACGACTCCTGATCAGCCGCTCTTGTAATACCATTACAATAAATGCAAGGAGATGGAAATTATAGAGACAAGGATGGAGGAGGGTGTAAGAAATAATAGTATGGTAAATGATGGATTGTTCATCCGTATAATCTCAGTTAGTGCAAGAACTTATTTGGTTCGGATGAGTGCCGTAAGGCCAAGTTCAAGATGAAAACATAAAGCATGGTCCTGAATTTCGGACGTTCCGAACAGCCTTAACAAATTTTGGAAAGCTGATTCCCGACCAAGAGCTACCTTTTATCGAAACGAGTTGATACTTACTATGATAGTGCGCTAGGAACCCTGGTTTTATAACTGAACCGTCAGTTGTGAAAGTAATAAAGAGCTCATGAGAAGAGCTTGTAATGTTTCTAGGCAAAGAGTCTCCATCATACTCGCCAATAAGTGTGGAGGAAGATGTTGGGCCATCGTACACCTTGACAAAGTCATAACCAGACTCAGTTTGGAATCTTATGAATGCAAGTTCCAGTTTTGCATTTGAAGAAATATTCCAGTTGCAATTCATGTGGTCCAAGTAAGTTCCATTATAATTTGAGTATATTAGACCCGCTGTTCTTGTTTCTATGGTCAAAAGGCTTGCGCATGAACTTGTAACTGTCACAGACGACTGTCCAGATACTAGGAAAAACACCATGAAATAATTAAATGATTGGACCACTCAATCAATCGATCGGTCGGTCAAACAAAAGTCTGATCACATAGCCGATGAATCAAAGAGTCGATCAATTATACCCTCAAACCATACAGCAAACAATCATTCAGTCCACCAGTCCATCAATCAATGCTTTGTAATTCGACCACAATAAATAGTTTGAATCCGGGGTAACATGTGACAATGTAGTCAAATCGTCCGGGTGAGTGTACTCCTGTGAAGGACAGCTGTCGGTTGTGGCGACTAACGTCATGGGTCACTGGTTTTGCCGTCTGCCTTTGTATTGTTACCGGAGTAATCGGGGTTTTCCCGCAAAACCTTGATTCAAGCTTTTAAACTTTCTGTTACTGCATCAAAACCTTTGGCAGCCGACTGATATCATCAAGGGCATTACATTTGGATTGATAATAATACACTGCCTGACGAAGCGACACAACAACGAAGTTCAGATACTTCAATGTTATCACACTCATTGTCACTTCAATTTTACGGGGGAGATTTAAGCTCAATCATGATTCCCCTTACTCAACCATGGTCACTTACAATATACACATATATATATATGTATGTATGCATGTATGTATGGGTGTATGCATGCATGTATGGGTGTATGCATGTATGTATGGGTGTATGCATGTATGTATGTATGTATAAGTCATTTGCTAAAAACGTATCATTTCTATTTCTCATAGCTTAGTGATCAAAAAATGAAAACTGGGAAATGAGGAGAAAAATGGAAAAAATCTACTTTAAAATCATAACACACTTACTTATCTAAGGCCCAAACCTCTTCGTTCACCCTGCAACCACCAAGTCTACCTTAAAAAACCTTACCGGTGCAAGATTTCCTGTCACCAGAGAATCCAGGCATACACTGACAACGAAATGAGCCTTCAGTATTCTGACAATTGGCATTTGGATCACAGACGGGGATGGAAGAGCTGCATTCGTCGACATCTGCAAAGAAATCAAGTAGTCAGTAGTGGAGCTCCGATTGATGATTTCTACTGCTTATAAATCTAAAAGGAAACACGCCTGAAAACTTTGACACCAAATAATCTTTGCAGATAAGATTAAAAGGGAGAAGGGACATGAGACCTGTTAAATATCGGTGCTGATATTTTTCAACGCTAGGCCGTCCTTTGTTATATCGAAACACGTTTCGTGGAAGGATGTCCAAATTTGTTGGAACAGCACAATTCAAACTCCACAACTCAGTGCACAAAGGCCTTGACGGCAATACGGCAGAAGTATTGATGACAAACGAGGCAAATGCTGTACGACAAGCAATTGATTATGTAAATATTTTTAACTTAATCACGTTTCACTTTTAAAACCGAAATGATTTAAGGGCCAATAATGATTGTCTACGTCTAGGGAGGATACACGAAAAAAATCCTAAACATCAATTTTCATGGTGAACTGAGGTACCTTCTGTTTTCATGTCGCAGTAAGCGAATACAATCTTTTCAGGTATGATGGAGGAAATCCAGTATCTCGCACTGACCGCTTGCCCTCCTTCACTTGTCTTAATCTCTTTACACGTTTCAGCCGGAAGTTCTGGAACGGACCCGAGAGGCACTGAAAAACAACGGATTGTTTCTTGTTTACTTATATCACTTATCACTCCATACATTCTTAACTCTTCATTTCCTCTTTTCCACTTTTAGCATTAAGGTCTCACCTCTCTTCATGTCTTTTTTAAAATAGTATCGTTCAGAGTTTGGTACAAAATCCTCTGGTCTGGCTTCCTTAGTACGGTTGCTCAACTCGCAAATGTCTTCGGTAAAGACGTAGTTAAAACTCTGGCATCTGATGTCTTGGTAACATTCCCGTAAACACACATCACCGAGAGCCGCTTTTGTGACCTTTTTGAAGATATGTCCTTGGAGCGTCATACCCAAGATCGACACTTCTCCTTTGGCTTTGCCATCTTGAGAACTTGCATCTAAGAATTTTGAACTTACAACTATCAACAGTAGCAGGGTAAGGGCCATCTTGCTCCACTCAGCAGCTTGATGACAATTGCTGGCGATAAAAGTATCAGAAGATTCGGCTGATGGAAAATTTTGCCAGGTCGCTGACACTTAGTGGAAGGTGGAAACAAGATTATTTTAGGATTTATTTATTTTTTGCGAAGAACATATTTAGGGAGCGCCAACAGTTTTTTAAAGCCAAATAAAACAATCTTCTGCCAAGTTAAGATTAATAAACGACCTTCAGGAAACCGCAACGGTGACACCAGGGAGAACGTGGCCAAACAAAAGATCTACTTCGCAGAACAATATCTCAGCACGTACGTTTTTAGCTTTGTACATTTCTCATTCCTTTGAAATACAACAGAGTGAAAGGACGTTGCGTGATCTGAGAACCAAAACACCGAGGGTAAATTAATTTAATTTCCATTTAAAAGTGAACGATGCTCCCATACAATATGCCGAATTTGAGATTTGCGACCTTGAGAAACAGTTGACGAATCCAGCCATTCGCTAAAAATTAATTCTACGATCAAACCACGTCTTTCTCAACGTTGCAGTTCTCACAACGTAAGGTCCCTCTAAACGATACTAACCCTTCCTGAAGGGCACTTAAAGAAGAAAACAAAAAATTCCCAAAAAAACAAAACAAAAGAATTGTCGTTCTCAATATCCAGGGAATTTTCGAGAGCAACCTTGTCGACTTAAGTGTATCAATATACATATACAGTCACCCAGAGCCTAACCCTTTTTCAAAACATTAAACATAACTAAGATAAATTAAATAGAGTGTGATTAAAATTTGACAAACATTTAAAGCTACCGCTTTAAATAACAAGAATTTACATTCCGTTTAAGCCAAAAGGTTTTACTTCAAACTACTAGCAAAAACAGCCTTACCAGTAACAAATGTCTTCTCCCCAGAAGAACTGCGTATTTCTTTTGCTACGCGCCTTTTCTGGTTATCAGATATGAAATAGGTCTTGAGTATCGACCAGCTGGTCTTTAAAACCTGATATAAAAGGTGTATTTCAAACGGGTTTGGGTAAACAAGCGTCACTTAATTAAGCTAGTTGCGCTGTTTTTGACGTTGTTCCTTAGGCAAACACCAAATCCAACAAATTATATAATTTTTTTTGGTTGAATAAAGTTGGATAAGAACATCAAAACTTCTTAATTCATTGGCATAAGTGCGAAGAAAGTTAAAATAGTTTACGTATAATAGTAAGAAGCAGGTAAGAATGCTCTGGTTCTTTCCTCATGTGGATGAAACTGAAGCAAATACTAGTTTATCTAATTCATTATGCCAATTATTCAAATTAAATGAACTTGTCTGCTTAATTTGACGGTCATTGTGGCTGCCATGGGCGCTTTTCAGCAATAAACGCGACTTAATGATATATTCTATTGGCTGTGGTCCAACTTCGGTGAGAGTTCTTCCTTTTGTGTTTCGCTGTGCTTAGCATACATTTGAACATCTCATATTGCATTTGTTTTGTGTAAGTTAAGAGATGTTGGACACCACAAACTACCACTTTAACGTCGATCATAATTTTTCTTTCGGCTCTCTCGCGAGGAAAACGCTTCATCAACATTTGGAAACCTGTCTTTCAAAACTTCACGTCAAAAAGCAATCTATTTTTGTTTTCATCACACTTAAACACCACCCGTAAAGAGAAGATAAAAGAAGTCAACGTATCTTTCCTGCAGGTTCATTACCTGTCAAACGGTAAAATAAGAACTACAGGAAGAGGGAAAATTGTCCTTAGATATAAGAAAATTATACATTAGGGTTTTTATTATGAGCTTTCTATGCAAGAATTATGTACGTTTCAGTGGAAGAAGTGAAAATAAATTAAATAGGCAATAACGAGGAAAGTCAAAATTAGGTTAATTAATGTTCAGCTTTGTCTCATTTTGTCATCCTCGGAGGATAATATATTCTAGGTTAAATATCATCTGGAACATTAGATGGCATGAGAGATGATTGTTTTATTTCTTGAGTAAGCTTTCTTGAGCCATTAGCGCACTTAGGTGACCTACAACTCTGTTTTTATTTTTCAATATACTTCCCATTTATCAACACCCACTGACTGAAACAGAGGAAGTGTTGATGTTCACTTTAAGTCTCACCTTCTTTAAAAAAATTTCTTCTATTTTTCACTTTCGCGAGAAAACGCTTAATCAATATTGTTTGACTGAACATTCATTTTATCATAATCAATTGCTAAATTTAACGCGCGCCCAGTTTATGTTTACTGTTCCCCGCGCGCTTTAATAACCTGCGTTATATATTATAAATTTTTTGTATGCTTCGATAGTATTGTGTTTTACAGTAGTATCGCCTTATTAACACAGGGCTAATTGGGCTTCTCGTGCATCACTGCATCAAAGTGTCTGCCAAGAAAACGCTATGTATTTCAAATATGAAATTACGCAAAAAATGGTCCAAAGTATAAATCGGAATTTCAGGCTAACATTAAGTTCTTTCCGACTCATTGGAAAACACTCTCGTGCGATATACTTAACATATGGCTAATTTACGTGAAATGAGATCATTCAAAAGTCACGAATGCAAGGCTGTCAGTCTCTTCCCCAGCTCATTTTCTTTTGTTCAAAATGCACCACAGCTACTTAAGAACTTGTTGTTTACAATTAAATCCAATCATCAATTTAAAAAAAAAGAGTTTCTAGTATTATTTCATAGATAGTCGTAGCATGATGCCACGTTTTAAAAATTGCTCGCAAACTTTTCAATTGACTGAGGAATATTGTTTTGCAAATGTATGCGTGCTTTCTATCGGAATAGATTAACTTTAGATGGAAAGAAAGGTTTCATCAGTTTTCGTTTCAATTTCCCGATAGGTGGTCTAAGATTAAAACAATAATCGAAGTTATTGCCGCGCAATAGGGATATATTGCTTGCTGTTAATGTACCGTTTTAGGACCTGGAATCAAGAATCATCCATCAAGATGATCTAATCGAAATTTTCCAGTGGGCGCCTGGATGTGAAAAATTGACGCAATCTAATGTTTCACTAGCAAAATGCATGCATTTGAAGGAACGAATATCGCGCCTTCTTTGCTCAAAAGCTTTTCGTTAACGTCATTACGCAATCATGGACTATAGGCGTCTTGAAGATATTGTAAACAATGACATAGTTGTTCCTGAGCCTATAGATAGTTATACCTTAGGGGCAATAAACTCAGGAAAAAGGTAGATATAGAACAAACGTTACATCAGCTCTCCTGTACCAGGTAGAATATGTGTACTAAACGGGTTGATTGAAAAAAAGAAGAACAAGTAAAAAACTGAAGAAAACAAACAAACAAAAAAACTTCATTGCAGTGCAAGGAGGATGAAAAGATGGAATGCAGGTCTTTGTAATACAACACCACGTTTGAAACTTCTACATCACAAATTGGCTAAATTTCAAAAAGATTTTTCCTCGATTTAACACTACGTCAAGCTATCAGCGATATTATGATTTTTTTCGCCAACTCATTTATTAGTGGACACTCTTAGAGTGATTTTGGAAGGCAGGAGAATAGGAGGGCGGGGTGGGGGAAGGTCTCTTCTTTATTTTAACATGTAAGGTAGATTTACTATAGATAGATAAAAGTTGAGGCCTACCATCATCTTAACTATCGTAAGAATATTCACTGAATTAATTGTGGTGCACCATGACAAAGCAATCTAAACCAAACTCTTAATTGAAAAAATTATTTTCATAATCGATGAACACTGCTACAAATTAGCACACGAACGCCATGTTGGATTCACAACAATACGACGTAATGCCGTACACAACAAACACCTTCATACATCCGGGCATATAAATATCCATTTTGGAAATTGCCTAGTTTTTCTTTGGATAAGTGGTTGTTGCTATGGTTATTGTGATCAATTCTGTGATTGCTGGATTTAAATAATAATATAATTGGATGCTTCATCTTTCCGATTACAGGTGTCGGATTACAGCCAACTGTCAGATTGCACTGTCCGATCACAACTGTAGAGAATGATTCGTGAAAACTGAATCTGCGTATGCACCAATAGGAATTAAGGAATTTGTAATGGTTATGATTAATAATGGTAATAGGACTGAGTAGAGTCCAATTCGCTCTGTAATCATACGAGTGATTAACAAAATTGGAGGATCGCGAAGCGGGAGCCCAATTTGTCAATCAAGAGTATGATTACAGACAGAATTGGACGAAAAGAAGTTCTCTTACCAATTAATCACAACCGTTTCAATTTCCGAAAACAACAACTACATTTAGGTCTAATATCTCCGGTAGAAACAATGCCCAAAGTAAAAAAATTTCTCCATTTTGGAAATTCCCCACATTTTTTTAAAGAATAAGAGGCTGTTGCAATGGTTATTGTGTTTAATTCTGTGATTAGTGGATTTGGCTGAGTGGACTTTGTATGATTGACTACTTCAACTGTCCGATTATAGGTGCCGATTACAGCCAACTGTCCGATTACAGCTCTACAGAATGATTAGTGAAAAAATCAGGCAATTTTAAACGACATTGACTCAAATCGCGCGTTCCCCCAGTCGCTGCTTTTAAGGTCATAATTTCATTCATTGAGTAACGGGCTTCAATGAGTTTTTTCTAAAATTTCTCTTATTTAATGGGGATAATTTGTTAACCAAAACTATGCGGCAAAAATATAGGTCATCGTGCTCGTTTCAGAGTGAAAGACCATCGCGTTCTCGGAATGCACGCGCGCTTATTCGCCCGATTACGTTATTTTTATGCGCAGTATAGGATGCGCAGTGCAATACTAAGGAGTCACCTTAAACGAAATACCGTAATTTCAAACAAAATGAATGTTCAGGGGCATGGTCACAATACTTCCAGGGCAAGTTGTTAAGTGTGTATGAGCTCCAGCTCATCCACAAGTGTAAAGGGTGTGAACAGAATTATACAGGTGTTTTGTTTTGTGGAACCGAGCGAAGGAATTGATCGAGTGCAGCTTTTTTCTTAATATCCTGGACTCAATTCCCAGC